CTTGGGTTCAGAAGGGAAAAAAAGCCAATTTAATCATTGTCTCTCAGGTGTCCTTGAACAAATAATTTGACCTTTGTTCTATGGACCTCAATTTAAGTATGTGAAAAATGGGGTTTACGACCCCATCCCTTCAACATGTGTCTCACTGGTTAAGTAAATGAAGTGGTATGACAGCAAAAGCATCAGAAACTAGATTGTGAATAAGACGAGATTAGTGAAACAGTACCATTCTGGCCAAAATCAAGCCCGTACATTTTGAACATCATGTCTCTCAAGTGATAGTTTATACTGCAGCCCTTCTAGCCCTGAGAGACTGGAAATGTTCATATGATGGAAAATTTTCATTTTCTTCGAGAGGACTTGATGGTACCTTGGTTGCTTTATTTTTTATTGCTATGACTAATTGTTACCACATGGTGGCAGCTCCAGGCAAATGCTGAACCTGGGAAAATAGAATTGAGGAAAATGACTAAGGCTAAGGGTGATGCTGTTTCCCAAGGATTGGAATATCCCATCTTTGAACATATGACTAGAAAGCAAACATCACATCAGCTTCCATGCCCTCTTGAAATACACAACAGAAAAAAAAAAGTATGTATTAGATGGGGTTAAGAAGGAAGTATGATTCAGTTCTAGCAGATTCATCCAAATCTGAAATCATTCATATTCTAAAGAACTGTTAAAGGAAGAGAGCTTGGGCAAGCTAGATCAAAGAATACACATTGGTCGTAGACTTACAAAGTTATTGTTGATAATTAATTATAATATTAACCAGCAGAAGCATCAGATGTCTCAGATTCATTTTGGAACGTTATGTATTCCTGGGGAAGTCTCTTAGGAACCAAATCAGAAGTGACATGGGGGCCGGCCCGGTGGTGCACTGGAGAGTGCGCCGCTTGGGAGCGCGGCGGCGCTCCCGCCGAGGGTTCGGATCCCATGTGGAGACCGGTTCCCGCTCACTGGCTGAGCGCGGTGCGGGTGCAACAGCGAGGGTTGCGATCCCGTTACCGGTCAGTAAAAAAGACAAAAAAAAAAGAAGTGACATGGGACTCCCAGAATAGCTTTAAAGAATAGATTCTTCCTTCCATAAAATATATGTGTTCTACAAATTTCAGCTTGGTATGGATATAAGCTCATTTGTGGTCCTTCTAGTCTTTGAAACAGGAAAGAAATTAGTAGTTGTCATGACATTTTACCAGAGGTATGGTGCTCTTCCTACAACCACATGTTATCTCAAAATCAAAGTGAAGCCTGAATCTCAGCTCAACAGCTCTGTGTAATAGAGGTGCTTTCAAAGCAATGTTTTGGGGCTGGCTGGTTATCTCGATTGGTTAGAGTGCAGTGTTATAACACCAAGATCAAGGGTTCAGATCGCCTTACTGGCCAGCCACCCAACAACAAAAGAAAGGACAAGGCAAATTCAAAGCAAGGTTTTGCAGGAGGAGGAAGCCCAAATCTTTCCCTAGATCTGCCCACAACATTTCCATGATGCTTTGTGGGGGTGGGTAGAATGCAAGGGTGGGAGAGACTAGGCCTTGCCACTTCTAGTGAGACTCTAGTTGTGAGTTTTACCTGGAATAGAATGTATTCAGCATCCTGGGGAAATATGGAAGAAACAGAACCTAGATAGGCAAAATAATTACAGTTGTCCCCTAGTATACATGGGGATTGGTTCCAAAATACATTCCTCCTCTCCCTTGCCCCTTTGGATATTAAAAGCTGTGCATACTCAACTTCCTTATATAAAATGGCATAGTATTTGCATATAACCTACACGCATCCTCCCATATACTTTGTCACCTCTACATTACTTACAATACCAAATACAATGCCTACACATCACTTCATTTGCATGGATTCAACATAGTACTCAGCATGTGGCAAATTCAAGTTTTGCTTTTTGAAACTTTGTGGAATTTTTTTTTTCCCAGATATTTTTGATCCACAGTTGGTTGAATTCACAGATGTGAAACCCATGAATACAGAGGGCTGACTATATATGCAGAATATTTTTAAAAGATAAAAACATTTACTAGGCAGTATTTCAGAAACACAAAAGAAGTGTAAAGAAATACAAAGCCTATCACTGAGCTTTTTAGATATGAAATAAACATATCTTGATTTGAGTCCAAAAGGATTATAAAAGTACAAGATGATTTATATGAAGGTAGAGAAGACCAGGTGCCACTCAGTGCATTGAAAGATGTTCCTCAGTATGGGTCTCTTCTGAGTCACTTTTGATGCCATTTCATTCCCTAGGGACGGAGACAGAGTTAGCTGACACAGCCTTGGATCTGCTTCTCTTGCTGCTAACAGAACAGTGGAAATGGCTGTGTACCAAAAACATGCAGAAATTTCTTCGTGTTATCTTCGGGACCCTAGTTCAGAGGTAAGACTGCTGAGTTCTCCTTCACATTAGAGAATCAACTTGCACAGAAGTTGAATATGATCTGAATTTGGCACTAGAAAGGAAAAGTGTAGAGTCCAAGGAAACT